ATGCAGTGATTGTGGGAAAGCCTTTTCCTGGAGCACAGCACTGACTCGGCATCAGAGAACTCATAGTGGAGAGAAACCCTATGAATGCAACAAATGTGGGAAGACATTCCAATCAAACTCTAGCCTTTCTAAGCACCATAGAACTCATACAGGAATAAAACCTCATGAATGCAGTGTATGTGGGAAGGCATTCTCTCAGAAGTTCATTCTCATTCATCACAGTATCATTCATAGTGGAGAGAAAGCTTATGAATGCAGTGTATGTGGAAAGGCATTCTCTAGGAAGTCTGGTCTTACAAAACACAGTAGTATTCACACTGGAGAGAAACCCTATGAATGCATTGCATGTGGAAAGATCTTTCGCCAGAAGTCAGATCTTACACAACACTATAGCATTCATACTGGAGAGAAACCTTTTAAATGCAGTCATTGTGGGAAAGCCTTTCCCAGGAGCACAACACTTACTCGACATCGGAGAGCTCATACTGGAGAGAAATCCTATGAGTGCAATGAATGTGGAAAGGCCTTCCACCAGAAAGCAGCTCTTTCATCACATAAAAGAATACATATTAGAGAGAAATCTTAGGAATGTAATGAATGTGGGAAGGCATTCCCCCAGATCACGGCATTTGCTCAACCTTATAGAAGTTATGATGGAGAGAAACCTTATTAATAAACTCATGGAAGCCATACTTTTGTCTGGAAGATACTCCTTGACAAATTTACTTATTATTGGAGAGGAACCATAAAAATATAGTTTATGTGGAAAGCCTTTCACTTAATGGTGGTGATCCATTTGTCTTCAGTAGAGAGGTCATTGATTAGAGATGCAAATAAGGCAAAGGAGTTCTTTATTGGGAAGGGGAGAGTCAGTACTGAACAGCAGTGTGTCCAAAAAGTAAAGAGGCCATCAATAAAAGAAAAACTAGTCCTTAGGCCAGAGTACAAAACTTTGTAAATATCGTTATACTCCCAATGTGAAAGATACAGGAGAGACAATAACATAGTAAAGAAGGTGAGATTAGAATGGTTTAGTGGCTGCTTGATTAGTTGGGAATGATTTTATTGCAGTTTGTAAAGTAGTCAGCACTCAAGTGCCTTAGGGATTTGTGTTGAACCCTATTCCATTGAATTTTTTTTTAAAAAAATTATTTTTAGTTTTCAGCATTCATTTCCATAAGCTTTTGAGTTTTAAATTTTCTCTGCCTCTCTCCCTTCCCTAAGACAGCATGCAATCTGATATAGGCTCTACATATACATTTATGTTAAACATATTTTTACATTAGTCGTATTGTAAAGAAGAATTAGAATGAATAGGAGGAACCACGAGGAAGAAGAAACAAAACAAAAAGAGCAAACAGTCTGCTTCCATCTGCATTCAGGCTCTATCGTTCTTTCTCTGGATGTGGACAGCATTTTCCATCATGAGTTTTTTGGAATTGTCTTAGATTCTTGCGTTGCTGAGAAGAGCTAAGTCTATCCAAGTTAGTCATTGAACAATGTTGCTGTTACTTTGTTCTCCTGGTTCTGCTCATTTCACTCAGCATCAGTTTATATAAGTCTGTCTAGGTTTTTCTGAAGTCCACTTGCTCCTCATTCCTTATGGAACATTAATATTCCATTACGTTTATATATCACTACTTGTTCAGCCATTCCGCAATTGATGGGCATCCCCTCAATTTCCAATTCTTTGCCACCACAAAAAAAAAAGCTGCTATATTTTTGTACATGTGGGTCCTTTTCCCATTTTTATGATCTCTTTGGGATACAGCCCTAGAAGTGCTATTGGTGGGTCAAAGGGCATGCACATTTTTATAGTTTTTTGGGCATCGTTCCAAATTGCTGTCCAGAATAGTTGGATCAGTTCATAACTCCACTAACAGTACATTAGTGTTCCAATTTTCCCACATCTCCAGCATTTATAATTTTCCTATTTTGTCATGTTAGTCAATCTGATAGGTGTGGTGTGGTACCTCATAGCTGTTTTGATTTGCATTTTTCTAATTAATAGTGATTTAGAGCATTTTTTCATATGACTATGGATAACTTTAATTTCTTCATCTGAAAACTTCCTGTTCATTTCCTTTGACCATTTATCAATTAGGGAATGACTTGTATTCTTACAAATTTGACTCCGTTCTCTACATATTTTAGAAATGAAGCCTTTATCAGAGACACTGGTTGTAAAAATTCTTTCCTAGTTTTCTGCTTCTCTGCTAATCTCGGTTGCGTTGGCTTGGGTTGTACAAAAACTTTTCAATTTAATATAATCAAAATCATCCATATTGAATTTCATAATGTTCTCTCTCTTATTTGGTCATAAATTCTTCCCTTCTCCGTAGATCTGACAGGTAAACTATTCCTTGCTCTCCCAGTTTGCTTATAGTATCAGCCTTTATATCTAAATCATGTACCCATTTTGACTTTATTTTGGTATATGGTGTAAGATGTTGGTCTATGCCTACTTTCTGCCATACTATTCTAAAGTTTTCCCAGAAGTTTTTGTCAGATAATGAGTTCTTATCCCAGAAGTTGGGGTCTTTGGGTTTATCAAACAGTAGATTACTATAGTCATTGACTGCTGTGTCTTGTGGACCTAACCTATTCCACTGATCCACCACTCTATTTCTTAGCCAGTACCGAGTAGTTTTGATGATTGCTGCTTTATAATTCAATTTAAGATCTGGTATGACTAGGCCACCTTCCTTAGCATTTCTTTTCATTAATGCCCTTGATATTGTGGACTTTTTGTTCTTCCAGATGAATTTTGTTATTATTTTTTCTAGCTCTATAAAATAATTATTTGGTAGTTTGATTGGTATTGGTATTATTGAATAAATAAATTAATTTAGATAGAATTTTCATTTCTATTATATTAGCTTGGCCTACCCATGAGAAACTGACTTTATTTGTGTGAAGAGTGTTTTGTAATAGTTTGTTTTGGCAAGTAGACTCCCAAATATTTTATAGTGTTTACAGTAACTTTAAATGGAAATTCTCTATCTCTTGCTGTGAGGTTTTGTTAGTAATATATAGAAATGCAAATGATTTATGGGGACTTATTTTATATCATGCAATTTTGCTAAAGGTATTATTTCAAGTAGTCTTTTACTTGATTCTATAGGATTCTCTAAGTATATCATCATGTCATCTGCAAAGAGTGATAGCTTGGTTTCTTCTTTGCCTATTCTAATTCCTTCAATTTCTTTTTCTTATTGCTAAAGCTAACATTTCTTTTACCATATTGAATAACAGTAGTGATAATGGACATCCTTGTTTCACTCCGGAACTTATTGGAAATGCTTCTAGCCTATCCCCATTACATAGGATGCTTGCTGAAGGTTTTAGGCAGATGCTACTTATTTTAAGGAAGGCTCCATTTATTCCTATGCTTTCTCGGAATGGGTGTTGTATTTTATCAAAAGCTTTTTCTGCATCTATTGAGATAATCATATAGTTTCTGTTAATTTTGTTGCTGATATGATCAATTATGCTGATAGTTTTCCTAATATTGAACCAGTCCTGCATTCCTGCTACACATCCTCCCTACCTGGTCATAGTGTATTATTCTCATGATAAGTTGCTGTAATCTTCTTGCTAATATTTTATTTAAAATTTTTGCAACTATATTCATTAGGGAAATTGGTCTATCATTTTCTTTCTGTTTTGACTCTTCTTGGTTTAGGTATCAGTACCATATCTGTATCATAAAAAGAATTTGGGACTCCTTATTTGCTTATTTTCCCAAATAGTCTATGTAGTATTGGAATTAATTGTTCTTTAAATGTTTGATAGAATTCACTTGTAAATCCATCTAGCCCTGGAGATTTTTTCCTAGGGAGTTCATTGATGGCTTCTTCAATTTCTTTTTCTTTTTTTTTTTTTATTATTTTGATTTATCAATAATCACTTCCATATGCTTTTGAGTTTAAAATTTTTCCCCGCCTTTCTCCCCACCACCCTCCCCAAGACGGCACACAATCTGATATATGCTATACATATACATTCCTAGTAAACATATTTTCACATTAGTGATGTTGTAAGTAAAAATTAGAACCAATAGGAGGAACTGCCAGAAAGAGGAAACAAAACTCAACAGAAGAAAAAGAAATAGCAAATAGTATACTTCGATCTGCATTCAAACTCCATAGTTCTTTCTCTGGATGTGGATAGCATTTTCCATCACGAGGCCTTTGGAGATGTCTTAGATCCTTGTATTGCTGGGAAAGGTTAAGTCTATCAATATTAGTCATAACACAACATGGCTGTTACTGTGTATAACGTTCTCCTGGTTCTGCTCACTTCACTCAGCATCAGACCATACAAGTCTTTCCGGGTTTTTCTGAAGTAAGCCTGTTCATCATTTCTTACAGCACAATGGTATTCCATTACATTCATATACCACAGCTTCTTCAGCCATTCCCCATTCAATTTATTTTTCTGAGATGGAGTTATTTAAGTATTTTACTTCCTCTTTTGTTAATCTGGACAATTTATATTTTGTAAATATTCATCCATTTCACTAAGATTGTCAAATTCATTGGCATACAGTTTGGCAAAAGAGTTCCTAATTATGGTTTTAATTTCCTCTTCATTGGTCATGAATTCACTCTTCATTTTTGATAGTGGTAATTTGGTTTTCTTTCTTTTTTAAAATGAAATTAACTGAAGGTTTATCTATTTTATTGTTTTTCCCCATAAAGCCAGCTTATAGTTTCATTTATTAGTTCAGTAGTTTTCTTAATTTCATTAATTTCTCCTTTGGTTTTCATTATTTCTAATTTGGTATTTAATTGGGAATTTTAAATTCATTCATTTTCTAGCTCTTTTAGTTGCATGCCACATTCATTGCTCCTGTCTTTCTCTGTTATTCATGTAAGCATTGAGAGATATAAACCTTCCCCTAAGAACCGCTTTGGCTGCATCCCATAAGTTTTGGTATGTTGTCTCATTATTGTTCATTCTCTTGTATGAAGTTATTGATTGTCTCTGTGATTTGTTGTTTGACCTACTCATTCTTTAGGATTAGATTATTTAGTTTCCAATTAAATCTGGGCGCCTGCCGGGGTCTCTCCAGGATCGCCCGGGGTCCTGGATCTGATTCCCTGCCACGCCTTTGGCTTTGCGGGTGCTTCCTCCAGGAGCACCCCCTTCCCCCCAGCTCTGCCTGCCAAGGAGAGGCCCCTGCGTTCCCCAAGGGGCGGGGGGAGACAGCAGAGGAAGGGATGACCCCTGTCCTCCCCAGACCTGCCCCTCCCCCCCCCATCGATGGTCCCTCCTTCCCAGAAGAGTCGCTGGTCATTGGCATTGGTTTGCCAAGCTCTGTACACGCCCTGTGTCCTTGGACCTTCACCACAGCCATTGCACAGAGGGGAAACTGAGGCACACTTGTTGCAGTGTCTGGGGCTAGACCTGACTCCAGGTCCCACACTCCCTCCTGCTGCCACCCATGCCCATCCTCAGCCTCCTGACCTTGATGCCATCGCTACTAATGGTGCCCCCCTCCCCCCTGCCCCTCTCTTCTCTCCCAGGATTCGTAGCCTGATCACAGCATTCAGGGCTCCTGCCTGCTCAAGTTAGACTTGGTGCTGGGCAGGTTGCAGGGGCAATCATATGTTCCCATGGCCAGTCTTGGGGTCCTTTTTTTAGCTTTCCAGCATTTAAAGCACTTGTCTCTCTACATCCTGCAAATAAAACAAACCCTAGGACATCCCTGGCACTTGACCAGCCTGGGGGTACACGGAGGGAAAGGGGCTTTCCTTGGTTTCTGTCCCCATAAGTGTCCCAGGCAGGACTGCAGAGGGGGCTTAAAGGTTTTGATAAATGGCTGAGATGTTCCTAGCTGAGAACACTGGACTCTGCATCATGGAAATGATTGGGTAGTCATCCTGTTGGTGTGTTCAGAGATCAGCTTCCCAGTTAGTCTTGGCCAAGGTCCAGCCAGCTGGGATCTGTTTGATTGGAGCAGCAGTAATTCTATGAGCTGAGAATGGGATTGGGGCCCCAAGGGTTCAGATGATCTTTGGCTGCAGTGAGAGCGGTTGGGGGTCTCCCTCACTGGCAAGTCCCTCATCGCTTCCAAAGATGTAGAGCTGCAGAGACCTTAGACATCTGATAGTCTAAACACTGGTGCTGTTCTCGCCCTGCTTTGGCCTACCTTGGGACCAGGGTGCTTGGGTGGACCAGGGTGCCTGGGTGGCCCATTTCAGGAAGAGTGTTGGTGAGTCCAGAGAAGGGAGTAGCAATAGGGACCGTCAGTTTTCTGCATGTAAAAGTATTAGATGATAAAAATAGTCCCTGCTTTCCAGGACTGAATATTTGACTGGTAGAGACAACCTATATCGGCATGGTAGCGAAGGTCTCAAGATCCTGTAAGAAGAAAGCAGTCTGTTAACACAGCCTTTTCAGAGGCAGTGGAATTTGATTATACTCCTCTTAGCAAGAAGTACAAGTGGGGGATTTGAGGAAGTACTTTTGTAGTTGGAGGGGAGAAAAATGTCTGGAGTAAAAATGAAGACACAGGCATAGGGTGTGCTAAATCCAGGGGCTTCCTAACATTGACCTTTGGTGATCCTATTTGGAGGGTGAAACATAGCCTCATCTCTTCCAACTTCTTAGGAAAATACATTTCAGGAGAACAGTGAGGCAGAGTCTGAATATGTTTAGTCATTCAAACAATCAGTTTATCAATAAACATTTGTTAAGTGCCTGTTATGTGCCAGGCACTGGGATACAAAAAAAGGCAAAAGACAGTGCCTGCCCTCCAGGAGCTCACCATCTAATTCGCAAAGCCCATGCAAACAAATAAATAAAAGCTAGCTATACGTAGGAGAAATAGATAATTAACTAAGGAAAGGCACTGGAATTAAGAGGCATTGGGGAAGGTTTCCTATAGGAAGTGACATTTTAGGTCTTAAGTGAAGTAGGGGTTCAGTAATTGGAATGGAGGAAGAACTTCCCAGACATGGGGGACAGCCAGAGAAAATACCCAGAGCTGAGAGATGGAGGGTCCTGTTGGTGGAACTGCCCTGAGGCCATTGTCACTGGATCAAAGAATATGTCAGGGAAGAAGGTGTAAGAAGACAGGACGGATAGGAAGGGCTAGGTTGGGCTCCGAATGCCAAGCAGAGCATTTTGTATTGGATCCTGGAGGCAATAGGAAGCCACTGGAGTTTATTGAGTAGGGGGATGATCAGATCTGTGGTCAGACCTTTCCTTTAGGAAGATCACTTAGGTTGCTGAATGAAGGGTGGATTGGAGTGGGGAGAGACGGGCTAGGCAAACCCACCAGTGGCTTGTTATAGGAGTCCGGGGTGAGGTGACGAGGGTCTGCACTGGGGTCGGGCCAATATCAGGGGAAGGAAAGGGACATATTTGACAGATGTTGCAAAGGCGAAATCAGGAGGCCTTGGCACCATATTAGATAGGGGGTGGCGGGCGGGGTGTGAGAGACAGAGGAGGAGAGGGTGACTCTTAGGTTGTCATCTTGAGAGGCTGGGAGGCTGATGTTTCTCTCTACAGTAATAGGGCAGGTAGGATGAGGAGAAGGAGAAGAAGAGGGAGACAGATAATGAGTTCAGTTTTTGGCCACATTGAGTTTAAGATGTCTACTAGACATCCAGTTCACGGACATACAGATGGTCCTTAAATCCTTGAGAGCTGATGAGATCCCCAGTGAAGCAGGATAGAGAGAGAAGAGCAAAGGGCCCAGGAGTGATCAGCTACTGTTAGAGGTCATGATCTGGAGAAGGACGCAGCAATGGAGGCAGAGAAAGAGTGGTCAGAGAGGTAGGAGGAGAACCAGGGGAGAAGGGTGTCCTGAAAACCTAGAGAGACAGGAGTTTTGTTTCATGATTCAGAATCTGGTACAGCCTGAGGCATGTAGTAAATACTCCTAAAGATTTTGCTTTCAACACTGAAACCTGAATGTGGTAAGAATTTATTAAGAATCAGTCCTTCTCATTCCTGCCCCCTTCACCCCCCCTTCCCCCATTCATCTGGGGCATGGTCCCTGGCCAAGCACAGATTTATTTGTTTCAGGAATCAGTGACATTTGAGGATGTGGCCGTGGACTTCACCTGGGAGGAGTGGGGCTACCTGGACACCTCCCAGAAGGAGCTTTACTGGGAGGTGATGCTGGAGAACTACAGGAACCTGGTCAGCCTGGGTAAGGAGGCTCCTCTGGGGACTTGGGATCTGCTCCTGAAAGGTTGTTTGCTTCCTTCTGCTGGGGCTGGGCCTAGTGTTCAGCACTGGTGCTTTGCCCTCTAAGAAAACCAAGCATTTGTTACTTACAATGAGGCCAAGAGACAAGATGCTTGTGCTCCTGGTCCCCGCTGAAGAGCGCTTGCTTTGTATGGCTGGAAACCGGCTGTGTTATTAGGTGATCCCACTCCAGCTGTCTGTTCACTCAGGCTAGAGAAGATTTCTGAAATCTCATGACAAATACTTGAAGTCAAGAAATATCCCAGATACTTGAGTATTGAATGAGTCATTTCTGAAACCATTTCTGTGCTTTGTCCCATTCTCATATCTTCCCAGGAAAATAAATCAATCACCTTTGAGATAATTCTTTATATTCTTCCTTGGCCTCCAGACTCCCTGGACCTTCCTGGCATGCTTCTAAGGGCTACTTGGGTTCTGACATGACTCACTATCCCCATCACTTGCCATTTCCCGTGACTAGGCCTCAAAATTTCAGGTAAAGTTCTTTTGATGCCAGTATGTGTAGTTCTAAGAAACAGCTGTCCAGGTGAGTGAGGAAAGGCCAGGTACTTGAGTACATGACTCCCAACATCTCAGCTAGTCACTCTACTCACAGCCCACTTAAATGGGCATAGAAATCTCTCTTCCAGCTCCCTAGACCTGTGGAGAAGAGATGAAGTTGCCTGACCTGGGCTTCTTTCATAGAACATTACCCAGCCCATTTATTGTTTTTTTCTGTCCGCTTGTACACAGATTCTTCCAGTCAGAGGGAAAGAGGTATTATGCTCAGAAGAGCAGACAGTTCTTGCTTTATCATAGGATCTTCGCAGTTCAGAAGAGGAAGGGACTTCTTTGGTCATGTAGGCTAATGTATACCTGAGTAGAACCACCCTCTTCTGCACCCAACCCAGTAGCTTTCTGCTTGAAGGTCTATAGTAATAGGAAACATAGTCTTGGAAGCAGGAGAGCCTTAGGGCCTGAGAGGACAGCCAGGGGAGCCAGCTTGTGATTTGCTTTTTATTTCAATTGAGAGTCTGGGCTTGAAACAAAAGGACTCCCTTCTGGAGTTGGGCATTTATATTGAGGTTGGTTGTTGTCCTTCGTTTTTGAAGAGGGCCAAAATGACATCACCATAGTAGAGTCAAGTTTTAGTGTGTCCAACTATGGCTGATCAGACCAATAAGAGCTCGGAATGTTCTGCCACGTGTTGGGCACAAATAGTCTGTGTGAACCTTTGGGCTGGATTCTCTCAGTCTGTGTATCTTGCCTTTCTCTTGAGCTATTTCAGTTCTGCTTTGCTCATAGCACACAACACCTTTTCTGATGTGGGCACACCATGATGAGTGGTCCTGTGCCATTGTCTCCCATGTTACACAATCAATTCCACAATTCTTAAGAGAGACCTTGAGAGTGTCCTTGTATCGCTTCTTTTGACCACCATGTGAACTCTGCCCTGTGAGGGCCATCTGGCTGCAATGTCTGTCACCCCATTGATCACCAGGGTTGATTCGGCTGATCTGGCTGGCTAGGTAGGTGTCCCCTTCTTTCCTCATGGCTCCATGTGTGTCCCTCCCAAGGGTGTGCACTTGGCTGATAGAGAGAAGTCAAGGTATGACTCATGTATGCTGGTCTGCCCTGCTACAACAAGCTCCCAAGGTCCATATATTGAAGACTCATCCTAGGAAAGCCTCACGAGGCATAATCTCTAGGTCTTCACATTGAGGGGAGCCCAGGTCATGCCACATTTGAGAGGGTTCGGAGCAATGATAACCATTTTAGATGAGTAAAACCATGCAAAAGAAACTCCCAAAATTAGTGAAGGGCCATGAATGAAACAAATATGACAGAAGCATCTGTGTGGGACCCATCCTTTTTCCACAAAATAGATGTTTATAAGAATGAATCTACATAAATGTGATACCACATTTCCTTCCAATTCCCTTCAGACTTAAAGATATAAAAGAGCAAATCACTCCAAGTAGGCTATCAGTTTAATAAAATTGAACAGTTCCTCTGATCACACCATATTGGAAGTGACAAAATAAATAATAGATGGAAAATATATGCATATATTTAACCTGAGAAGATCTCCCCTTGAGAGTACCTAGTACTTGTTGTCAGACACTTGGTGTTGGAAAGAAAGCTAATGAGGATAAAGCTATTGAATGCACGTTTTCCTCTTGACCTCGCTCAACATCACTTTATTTTGGACGGAGTAATGTTATATTATTTAAACCTTATTCAAAAACACACACACCTTATATTATTCAAAGAATATAAGGGTTGTGGAAAGCTCTTCAGGCAGAACACAAAATTAATTCAACATAGAATCTGTTTCCCTGCCTTATTTCCTTTGAATTAGTTAATGCCTTTTCTCTTTTGAATATATATGAACTTGACCACAAAAAATATAATATTATTGGGTCATATGAAATGATAAGCATGGTGAATAAAAAAAAATTAGAAGACATAAAACCTGATATTGATTCAAGTGAAAACACTTTATTCATTTACTATAATAACGAGAGTATTGAGGAAAGTGAAGAATAGAGAAAAGCATATTTATTCAGGGAGAAGGGGTATTTACACTTTTTTCTTTCTTTCAGATTGGGACACTAGGCCTCAGATCAAGGCATCAGATTTAAAGATGATTGTTTCTATGGATGACTTATCCCAGCAAATTTTCTCATGGAATGATCTGTGCATCTCCAAGTTTGGGGAAACCCAGGAGCACAATGGCAAGATAAGGAAGGAGCAGAGCAATGAGGAGAAACATTCTAAACAAATAAAAATAATTCAAGAAAAACCTCCTGATGAAATGAGAGGCCGTGAATACAACCAATATAGCAAAACCTTTAATCCAGAGGCAGTCCTTTTTCCACAACAGGAATTATCTGTAGTAAGGAATCTCTACAAAAGTAATATCCAGGGAAGGAGCTTCAAAGTATATTCAGGCCTAAGACAATTTAATATAATTTCTTCAAAGACATGTTCTAAAGATAATGAATGTCAGAAAACCATCCTTTATGATTCTGATTGTCTTGAAAAACACAGAATATATGCTAGAGAAAACCATTATGAATGTGAGAGGTTTTTTCTCCAGAACATTGAACTTACTCCTCACCAGAGAACTCATACTGGAAAGAAGATTTATGAATGCATTGAGTGTGGGAAGGCCTTTCAGCAAAACTCATATCTTATAAAACATCAGAAAATTCATACTGGAGAGAAACCTTATGAATGCAGTGAGTGTGGGAAGGCCTTCCAATGGAGCACTAACCTTTCTCAGCACCAGAGAACTCATACAGGAGTAAAACGTTATGAATGTAGTGAGTGTGGGAAGACATTCTGTCAGAAGGCAGATCTTATTCATCATTATAGAATTCATACAGGAGAGAAACCTTATGAATGCAGTGAATGTGGTAAGTCTTTTCGACAAAAGACAGATCTTAAACAGCATTACAGAATTCATACTGGAGAGAAACCTTATAAATGTAATGATTATGGGAAAGCCTTCACCCAGAGCACAACGCTGACTCGACATCAGAGAACTCATACTGGAAAGAAACCTTATGAATGCACTGAATGTGGGAAGGCCTTCTGTCAGAGAACAGAACTTATTCGACATCATAGAATTCATACTGGAGAGAAACCTTTTGAATGTTTTCAGTGTGGGAAGGCATTCTGTCAAAGGGCAGATCTTAATCAACATCATAAAATTCATACTGGAGAGAAACCTTATAAATGTAGTGAATGTGGTAAGACCTTTTGCCATAACTCACAACTTACTCAACATCATAAAATTCATACTGGAGAGAAACCTCATGAATGTAATGAATGTGGAAAGGCCTTTTGCCTGAGGGCAGATCTTAATTGACATCTTAGAATTCCTACTGGTGAGAAACCTTATGAATGTTACTAATGTGGGAAGGCGTTTAGCTGGAGCACGACATTTATTCAACATCAGAGAATTCATACAGGAGAAAAACCTTATGAATGTAATGAATGTGGGAAAACATTTCCCTGGAGCACCACACTTACTCGACATTATAAAATTCATACTGGAGAGAAACCTTATTAAAATAACAAAGTAAGCTTTTCTTCTAGAAGAACTCCTTAGTAAATATACTTAATACTGAAAAGGAACCATAAGAATGTAATGCATTCAGAAAGCCCTTCAGTGACAGATGGTGAAGCATTTCTTCCCAGTTGAGGGGAATGCAAAATGGAGACAAGAGTAGATAGCTTTTTCTTGGAGTTAGGCTGTGAAAGGGAGGGGAGATAAAGGAAGATAGCTTGAGGGGAAGTTGAGGACAAATGAATATTTTGCTTTTGATGGCAACCCTGTCTCCTAGGTAATCTTAATTTTCAGTCTCCATGTAATCTCCAAGTCTTTCTTCTCCTTTATCACTACCCCCTGACTCCCCATATTCAGCTAGTTGCATTGGCCTGTAAATTCTAGCTTCACAGCAAGAATTTGTATTACCCTTCACTTCACTTGTTCAATTATGTTCTTGTTTCAGGCCTTCATAACTTCATCCCCCACTCTCTCCTATACCCCCATATCTAACAAAGAACTTGCCCTTGTCTGTGCCCAGGCCAATCCCTCCATGTGTACCCTTGATCTGTTCCCTCCCATTTTCTTCAGCTAATTTTGGCTTGTCATCTCTTTTGTTTAATCTTATTTGTTCTGTCTTCATTATATCTTTAGTGCCTTCAAAAAATGCTGAAGTCATCTGCCTTTAACCCACCTCCCCTTCAAAAAAACAAAAGAACACTTTCATTAAACTTGAGCCACTCTGCTGTCATCCTTTATGTCTCCCTTTGTCAGACAAACTCTCCCTCATCAGCTTGGTGACTTTAGCAGCTCCCATGAGTTTTTCTGTTTGCATATGACTCAGATTTACAAAGCTAGTCTCAGTCTCCTCCCTAAGTTTCAGTCTTGGATTTGCAGTTGTCTGTTGGGTATTTAAAACTCAAGTTCCAGAGACATCTCAAACTCACTATGTCCAAAAAACGTCATTATGTTTCCCCCAAGATCAGTCCTCTTCCCTGTTTCTTTCAAAAGTACCACCTTCTTCCAATATCCCAGATTCATAATTTATCTTTGACTTCTTACCTTTCCTCACTTCACATATCCCTTCAGTTGCTGAAACTTGGATTTTCTGCCTTCATAATGTTTCTTGTATCTCACCCCTTTAATCACACAGCTATCACCTTAGTTTAGGCCCTCATCAGCTCTCACCAAGATATTACAACTTCCTAATTGGTCTCCTGGTTTCAAGACTCTGCTTACTCCAGGGCACCCCCCACATAGCTGTCAAAGTGATTTTTTTTTAAGTGGGTTCTGATGATATGACTCTTCTACTCACTAAACCCCTGTGGCCCCAATTTATCTCTCTAGCTTCAGGGGACATTCTTCTTCACTCTGTTATCCAGCCAAACTGATTTCTGTTCCTAATGATAATAGCAAATATTTGCATAGCACTTTAAAGTTTGTAAAGCACTTTACAAGTATTTCCTTTGATTCTTATAATAATGCTTGGAAGTGATATTCCCATTTTACTGATGAGGAAACTGAGGGAAATAGAGGTTAAATGACTTGGCCCTGGTTATACAGCTGTCTCTCTGTGGGCATGGTGTCTGAGGCAGCATTTGACCCCAGCTGTTTTTGACTCATCCTGTTCTTTACCCACTGTCCCACACAACTGTCTGCCCCTTCTCTATCCCTTTACACTGGCTGCTCCTCATGTCTGGAATGTACTTCTTCCTTACCTCTACCTCTTAAAATTCCTCCCTTCCTTGAAGGTGCAACTTAAGTGCCATCTGCTGTGTTATGGTTCTTAAGATTTCTCTGTGTCATGAACCCCTATAGCAGACAGATGAAACCTATAGGTCCCTTCTCAGAGTAATAGTTTTAAGTGCTTGAAACAACATGCATAAGATTACAAATGAAACTAATTATATTGAAATACAGTTATCAGACTATGTATTAAAACGTTTTCAGACACCAGGTTAAGAACTAGCCAGTTTAGTTAGTTGTTTCCTAAAAAAAAAAAAAAAATAATACTTTAAGGTACTTTGTTCATATTGGTGTATGGGAGACAGCAATTGTTCGTATTTTCATTAATTGTGCATTATCTGCATCAGTTCTGGCATATTCACCTAGTATAATATTGGGCTAAACGAAAGGATAAGCCTGGTGAATTCAAAGTAATTTTGGAAACCTTAAGAATTGATTTCAGTTCACTTGGAAAAAAATACGTACCTTGCTTATAACAGACAGAATATCGGGAAAAGTGAAGTGTACAGAAAAGCTTATTCATCCAAGGAAAAGGACATTTACACTTTTCTTTCCTTCAGATGGGGACACCAGGCCTCAGACCAAGGAGTCAGTGTCAAAGTTAAGTATTTCTATGGAAGTCTTATCCCAGCAAAGGTCCTAGTATAATGACCCATGCATCTCCAAAATGGGGAAAACTTGGGAGTATTGTGTCAAGAGCAATGAGGAGAAACTTTCTAGACAAGGAAAAGTAATCCAAACAGAAACTGCTGATGAAGTCAGAGGCTCGGAAAACAGTAAATACAGCCAAACCATGAGCCCAGAGCTAGTCCTTTTTCCAAAATGGGGAATACGTGTAGTAATGAATCTCCATAAGAGTGATAACCAGAGAAGGAGCTTGAAGTCAGACCAAAGATGATGTAATCAAATCCATTCACAGAAGAAATATTCTGAGGTTAACAAATGTCAGAAAGCTTTTGGTTATGATTTGGACCGCATTAAGAAACATGAAATTCATGCTGAAGAGCAACTTAATGAAAGTGGGAATTCTTTCCTCCCAAATAATGAAGTTGTTCTATGCCAGAGAACTCCTACAGGAAAAAAGTTTTCTGAATTGACAGTGTGGGAAGACATCCTGTCAGAAGACAGATCGTCCTCTGCACACTAGTATGGAAAGTCAAAACAAATCTCACAAGTGCAGTGAATGTGGAAAAGTCTTCTGGCAGAAGAGAAATCTTACAAAACACTACAGATTTCATACTGGAGAAAGACCTTTCAAATGCAGTTACTGAGGAAAGGCCTTCTACCTGAAGATAAATTTTATACAACATTGTAGGATTCATACTAGAGAAAAATCTTTAAATGCAATGATTGTGGGAAGGACTTTTCTGGGAGCACAGCACTGACTGGACATCAGAAAATTCACATTGGAGAGAGACCCTATGAATGTAAAGAATGTGGGAAGACATTCCGATCATGCTCTAGCCTTTCTAAACACCTTAGAACTCATACACGAATAAAACTTCATCAATGCAGTATATGTGGGAAGGCATTCTCTTTGAAGGTTGGTCTTACCAAGCCCAGTAGTATTCACACTGGAGAGAAACCATATGAATGCAATGAATGTGGAAAGACATTTTGATCAAGCCCTAACCTTACTCTGCACCAGAGAACTCATACAGTAATAAAACCTTATCAATGCAGTGTATGTGGAAAGGTCTTTCGCCTGAAGGCAGATCTTAGACGCCACTTCAGCATTCACACTGGAGAGACACGTTTTAAATGCAGTGATTGTGGGAAAGCGTACCCCAGGAGTGGAGCACTGACTCGCCATCGAAGAACTCATACTGGAGAGAGACCCTATGACATTCTTTTCAAGCAATGACCTTACCCAACACCAGACAACTCATACAGGAGTAAAATCTCATAAATGCAGTTTATGTGGAAAAGCATTCTATCACAAGTCTAATCTTACCAAGCACAGTCATATTCATACTGGAGAGAAACCATATGAATGCACTGAATGTGGAAGGAACTTTTGCCAGAAGTCAGATCTTAGACACCACTTCAACATTCATACTGGAGAGAAACCATTTAAGTGCGGTGATTGTGGAAAGACATTCTGATCAAGCTCTGACCTTACTCTGCACCAGAGAACTCATACAGAAAGAAAACCTCATCAGTGCAGTGTATGTGGGAAAGCATTCTCTCAGAAGTCTGGTCTTACCAATCACAGTCATATTCATACTGGAGAGAAACCATATGACTGCAGTGTATGTGGAAAATTCTTTCGCCAGAAGTCATGTCTTAGACAACATTACAGCATTAATACTGGAGAAAAACCTTTTAAATGCAGTGGTTGTGGGAAAGCCTTTCACCATAGCACAGCACTGACTCGACATCAGAGAACTCACACTAGAGAGAAACCCTATGGATGCAATGACTGTGGAAAGGCCTACAGCCAGAATTCCCATCTTTCAATACATAAGAGAATACATACCAGAGGGAAATCTTAGGAATGTGATTAATGCAGGAAGGCTTCCCCCAAATCGGAGCACATATTCAACATTATAGCACTCATGATGGAAAGAAACCTCATTAATTTAATCACTGAAGCAGAACACTCTGGTGGGCTGATCTGGATTAAAATGAAATTGGGGGATATTTTTTGAAAAGTAAATAAAACCACAATAAAACATAGATGATGTTAGTTTGTGGTTGTCTAGGTCAATACAACTGTTTTGGTCTTTGAAGTTTTGATATTTTGTTTCCTCACTTTCTTTGCTGAGGTTATCTTGCTTTAGTCCATATCTGTATGGCCAGAAGGAAGGGGCTGTCGTGGGCTTGTCCCCGTTACTGTAGAGTCATCGACTTAGAAGTGGTAGGGAGGCCACTGGGTCCAGGCCCCTCCTTTTGCAGATGAGTAAACCAGCCTCAGATGAGTTAAGTGACTTGTTCAGGGTGACAAGGGTGGCCCTCACACCAATGCCCTGAGAGGTGAGGTTTGTGCAGAGTGTTAAATGCCAAAGAGAGGACTTTGTATTTGATCCTGGAAGGAATAGGGAGCCATTGCAGTTTACTGAGGGGTAGTGGGTGTGGCATTGTCAGACTTGTGCTATAGGAAAATCACTTTAGTGACTTGGGCAAGAAGGGCTGGAATGGGGAGAGACTTGAGGCAGGAGACCCAGCTAGGAGGAGGCTGTTTGTAAAGTTCAGGTGAGAGAGTAAGAAGGTGTGCACTAAGGTGGTGGAAAGGAAGGACATCGTGGGAAGATGTCTGGAGACAGAAAGGACGAGATTTGGCCAGGGATTGTGTGGAGTCAAGGACGCCACTACAGATGGATTCTCCCCATGTTCCTTACCTCCAGGCTTCCTCAGGAAAGCAGGATTGTCCTCTTTCCTGAAGTGGTGTCTCAAATTGTGGTGTAGACAGGTCGTTTCTCCAGTGTGTTCAGTCATCAGAGGAAGAGAAGCCAAGAAGCCATTCCATCAAAAAATCTCAGTGGATTGAGCCCTTCCTGCTTGCCAGGCCCTGAGGGAAGCACATCAGAGACCCAGAAAGGCAGAATCATGGGCTTATTTCAAGGGGATGACCAGGTGGGCACCAGATCGGTACGGACTTGTAGGAGCCGGCCTTAGAGGGTCCCTGGCTTCCTTTTGGCCCCTCTCCAGTCACCCCTTCTGTAAGGAGTTTTCCCGGTCCCCCTTAATGACAGTGCAGCACCACCTCACAGATCCCCCTCCCCAGATGGGGGTCTCTCCTTCTGTGTCTCATTTGTATTTTGACCTTTGAAGGTTGTCTCCCCATTAGACACCAGGAGCTCCTTGAGAGCAGTGCCTGGCTTTTGTCTTTCTTTGTATCCTGAGTGCTTAGCATAGTGCTTGGCACCCAGCAGGCACTTAATAACTGCTTGTTTACCTGACTTGAGTCAGCAGCTGGGGGGATGCCTGAAAAGCACCATGTCCTGGGAGACTTTCCCTGATCTTCCCAGTGGTTTCTGCTAACTCCCTCCCCAAATATCCCAATCCAGTGGCCTCTTCTCAGGCCTCAGCCTCTCTTCCCTGACAGTTTCATGGCCCTGCTCCCTCTGGGTCCTGTCCTCCTTCCTGTCTGACCACTCCTCCCTTCTCTGCCTCCTTTGCTGGGTCAGCATCCATGTTATGCCCTCTGTCTTGGGGCTTGTCCAAGGCCCTGGCCTGGACCTTCTTTCTTTTCTCCCTAAATTCTCTGACTTGGGGATCTCATCTGATGCAATGGTTTCCACTTGTTTTTCTACAACTAATACATAGGACATTTTCAAGGCATCTCCATCTCACCTGGATAACTCAGTATCTCCCCCCAAAACCCTCCCTGTTTCTGAACCTGGCTATTTCCTTGGAGGATACGACCACCCTCCAGGTCACCCAGGCTGGCAGCGTCATTTCTTTCTTTGAATGCTCCTTCCCTCTCTCAGCGTACATATGAGGTCAGCTGCCAAGTTGAGTGATTTCTCTTTTTGCACAATCTCTTGCCTGTACACGTCCCCTCTGCCCAGTGCCCCAGCCCTCCCCCTAGTGCAAGCCCTGGTCACCTCCCTCTGGACTCTTACCGAGCCTGCTCTTTGGTCTCCCAGCCTCCAGCCTCTCCCCACACCAGTTCATCCTCTCATCTGCCAAAGTCATTTCCTTTTTTAAATTCACACTACCTCACTTAAGCACTGGTGTTCTTGCTGTCTGGATGGGATTTTTCTGAGTTCCCCTCTGTAGGCATCCTCTTCAGTACAGTGACCATCTTCTACTTTTTCTTCTCCCATTTTTCCATTTGAAGTCCACATTCAGTTACAAACTCTGCACTTTCCCTTACCTCCTAACATGAAAAGGTGTGTCTGGGATGCTGAAATCTGATCCCAGCCCAAGCACATTTATAGAGGCTTTCCTGAAAATGCTGGTAAAGCAAATGCCCTGAGATGGAGGGAAGCATGAACAGCCAGTCTATTTGAGAGGGGACTGTCCTACTGATGACAATGGGCCATGGTTCTGGACTCCATTTAAGTACCAAAGTGGAATTTCAATGAGCAAGAAAGCCCTGCATGCTTGAAAACAAGAACCAACTGTGAGGGTAGAAGACAGACAGTAGTGACTGGTGAATAGATCCGAAGACAATTCTGTGAAAATCCCACAGGTATTATCCCCATTAGGGTAATGTAAGCTCCTTGAAGACAGATTCTTTTTTCATTTTTTATTTCTTAATAGCCCCACTTCTAGAACAGTCTTGATTCTTACAGAAGCAGCACAGCACACAGAAAATAGAATGTTAGGAATGAAGGAGACATTGAGTGATGTTCTCCTCCAACTCCTCATCTTCCAGGAGGGCAGCAATTTCCAGAAGACAATGAGGGTCAAGGAGATTAAATGAAGTGGCCAAGGCTATTTCTCTACATAGCTGCAAAGACAACCCCATGACCATCTACCTCAGAAATCTTTTTGCCACATTATGCTAGGTTTCCACAAGGAAGTGGGTCCTCACACACTGAAACATCACTCAGGACCCAGGAACTGTGAGGAAGACTCAGTAGTCAACAAAAACTATTGGGCAACCTGGAGAGCAGTCTGGCAGAAACTAGGTAGAGATCAATATCTCATCCCATATGGAAAGATAACCTTCAAATGTGGATATTACTTAGACATAAAGGGTGATATCAAGACAAATTAGAAGGTCAAGGAAGAAATTATCTTTCACATCTAGGAATGCTGAACAGGTCATGATCAAAGAAAAGATAAAGATGCTCATTAAAGGCAAGTGGGTAATTCTGATTACTTAAATAATAATGGCTAACATTTATTTAGCAGTTACTATATGCCAGGCACTGTGCTCGGCACTTTAGGATTACTGTCTCATTTTGATCCTCACAGTAACCCTAGAAGATAGGTGCTATTATTATCCCCATTTCATAGATGAAGAAACTGAGACAAACATGATAAGTTACTTGCCAGTGTCAGAAATGAAGGAAGTGTCTGAGGCAATTTAAACTTATGTGTTCTTGACTTCCTGACCCATTGTTCCATACACAGAGCCATCTACTTTGCAAAGTAAAATGAAAAAACTTTTGCACAAACAAAACCAGTGCAACCAAAATTAGGAGGGAAACAATTCACCGGGGGAAAAAAGTCTTTGTAACCAGCTTATCTGAGGCTTGTTTTACTTCTATAAAAAATAAGGAACTGATTCAATTTTTATGTGTCATTTCCCTACTGATAAGTGGTCAAAGCATATGAATTGATTATTTACAGAGGACAAAATCCAAGTTGTTAGTAGCTACATGAAAAAAAAACCTCTAAATCACTATTAATCAGAGAAATATAAATTAAAACATTTCTGAAATTCTACCTCACAACTCCCAGATTGACAAATTTCAGGCAAAAAAGGAAAACACCAAATATTGGATGGGCTATGGGACAACAGTATATTAGTGAGCTATTGATGGTGGGCCAGTCATTCTTGATAGCAGTTTGGAAATATGCTCAACAAATGCTAATGACCTGGTTATAACACCATTAGGTCTGTACCCCAAAGAGGTTAAAGGAAGAGGAAATGGACTCATAAGTAAAAAAAAATTTATAAAAGTTATTTTGGAGATGAAAACTTGGGGGTGGAGGGGCACTTCTCAATTGGAAGAGAGCTGTAGGAGTTATGGTCTATGAAAGCAATACAATGGAAGACTTGTGCTCTAAAGCATGATGAAGAGGCTGGCCCAGAGAAACCTGGGAAAACCTTTAAGAACTGATGAAGGGTGAAGTCAATAGAAACAAAAGAACAATGTTGTAAAGAGAAGAACTTGCAAAGACTCATATGCTCTTCTCAGTAAAATAACCAGCCAGAATTCCAGGGGACTCATGATGAAACATGCTGCCCACCTGCTGATACAGAGGTGATGGGCTCATAGTGCAGATTGAGATATTGGGAGGTGGGGAACTTGGCTGTTCTGGGAATTTGTTTTGCTTGGCTATATATGTTTGTATTGTTTTTTTTTCACTTTATGGATTGGGGTACTGGTGGCAAAGAGAAGGCTGGAGGAAGGAAAGTAGGATTTTTGTGGGAATAGAGGGGGAAATTCCTGGGCTGTACTGTTGCTAGGATTTCAAGGGGAGAGGCCTCCTACAGGATATCCAGATAGGAGTGTAAGCCCCTGGGAGTTAGAGGATGTTGTCGGACAGCAGGCTGCTACAGAGGCAGCTGGAGGATAAAGCCCCCTAGAAAGCTAGAAAAGTAGAAACCAGGAAAAGCTGCCCATTCTCATTGCCTCCTCTACCTCTTCTTGTACTCATTCTTTAGCCCTTTGCAACCCTGCTTCCAACCTCATCACTCAGTTGAACCTGCTCTCTCCCAAGTACCCAATGGTGTCTTAATTTGCCAAATCTGATAGCCTTTGGCTGCATACACCTAAATATTTTCTTTTCTGGCCTGGACACGTCCAGTTCCTTCAGTCAGTGCATGTCCAATCTACAGCCCCTACAGTCATTCTCCACAACTATCCCCCCATGGAAGGGGAATACAATAGGAAGAGCATTGGAAATTGATTTGGAGTTATCATGTAGCTGACTGGAATAGGGTGCCTATAAAACCCTGGACATGATCTCATTGGAGTCCCAATCAGCCCCCGAGGAAGGGACAACCATCATTATTGAGGATAGAACAGATAA